TTTGCAGTATCACATCTGAGTTTACTGGTTGTTTGACAGACAAGAAATGTCTTGGAAAGTTGCTGATTTATTAGGTGTTTTTTCCTTCTTATAATCCGTTTCCACTTTTGACATACTTTTTGTTTTTGCTAATTAGCAATATGGTGATATCCGGACTCTCTACACTGCGTGTAAGCATAGGGGCTTTGTCATGATATCCTACTTCGATATTCGTGCTGCTCGAACTGCACTGCGAGCATTGCAAAATAAGCCACTGCGGAGGAGAAAACTAGACATACATTTCTCAATCCCAAAGGTGGTGGTAATTTGCCGGCTGCTTTTAGTGGTTTACACAATTAGATTGTATGTTACATACCTTTTGCTGACTAACCTCCTCTTTCTCCTATTACTCTTCTTTTCTCCACCTCTCAATGTACATATATCAGGATAACCCCTCAGACAAAGATATGAATCAAGGAACTCTTGTGGTATTTAATCTGGATCCGTCAGTATCAAACGATGACCTCCGCCAAATATTTGGGGCTTATGGTGAGATCAAAGAGGTCAGAGACTCAAATAGTCGAATCATTTATTTCCCATTTTACTCCATCTATTCATTTCCCCTCGTGTGCTACCTCAAGGGGCTAGTTGATATTAAGTATATGTGATATCCCAGTTTCTCTCATTGCAGATAAGGGAAACACCACACAAGAGGCACCATAAGTTTATTGAATATTATGATGTTAGAGCTGCAGAAGCTGCCCTTAGGTCCTTAAATAGGAGTGACATAGCTGGCAAGCGCATAAAACTTGAACCAAGTCGCCCTGGAGGAGCTCGTCGAAAGTGAGTAATCCACTATGACTTGTTTTCTTGATCAAAATAAAACTAGAATTTGTTTTGTAACACTTTGGAAGCTTAAAGTAATCTTTTCTGGTTCATGAGCTTCACTAACCTTTTGCTGTTACTAGCATCCAGAACAACCTAGTTACTTTTCATTCACACCTATCCTTCTGCTCTGTTGTCACAAGTGTCTGGCTATGTTCTCCTTTTTTTTTTGATAACCGGAAATCCCCGAGGTCCAATGGCACACGGTTTGAAACTCAGTGTTTCTGTTTTCCCTTTTCTTTTTTGCTTTTGTGCCATATCGCTAAATTGCTGAATTAGATTACAGGATGATGATCAGACCAGCAAGCTCCCCCCAATCTCCCCCACCCCCACCAAAGCAAAGGTAAAAAAAGGAAATTACTGTAGTCCTCAACTGAAATGAGGAAAGTAATAATAGCATAGACATCAAAAAGTAAGTGTAATTACACCAACAACTTACAATGGCGTGATGGCGTCCCTTTGCATACTCTCTTCTCTCTTTGGTTTAAACCATGTTTATTTTAAATACTGAGATTCTTGTGCATCTTTAAGTGGGATACTCACCAGCTGCTGCTTCTCCTTCCTTCTGGATGCTTTTTCCTCTCAGCCTTTTTATACCCTCAAACTTGAGCTCTTGTTGAACACGCCATATAATATTATCAGTTTGATATCATCAAAATTCTAGAGCTTGTTGATGTTTATGATGAGTCTTTTGGTTGGGTGTTCCTTCAACAAATTTGAGGTTGCACTACTTTGAGCTTGTTGATGTTTATGATGCTTCTGTTTTTGGGCTGTTGCATATCTGGGTTCAGTTTATTGAATCTTGAGTCTGATCTAGGCACACTTTTCTTCTTTATGCTGCACTTGTAGTTCTACGGTGCAATCAAATCAAGAACCTGAACAAGATGACTCTTGGACTTTTCGGCACCCATTGGGTTCCTCAATTGGTAATTCCTCGCCTGGTAAGTTTACTGAGTGTTGCCACTTCTGTGTAATGCTGAAACCATTTAAGGTTCTTCTTTGTCTTCTTTTTGTGCCTGTTCTTTATTTTTTATTTTTTTAATTTGGGTTGGTAGAAAAGGGGGCAAGGGATGGACTTAATTAATGAACTTCTTTGATTGCAGTTATACTATCTGATAGTATGGGAATTCTTATATTTCTGGCAGGTAATTGGCCACAGTTTGGCAGCCCTATAGAGCATAGCTCCATGCGAAGTCCTGGCACTTCACCAGGCTTTAGATCCCTGAGTCCCACAATGGGCAATAATTTACTTGGTTTAGCTTCAATTTTGCATCCTCATGCATCAAATTCCTTGAGGGTAGCACCTATAGGTGAGGATCACAGAATGGGCGGTCATGCAGATCTCCCTAATGGTTCAAACCATGGTGTTCCCTTCCATCAGTCTCATTCTTTCCCTGAGCCTAAGATAAGCCAGTTTGGTGGAACAGTGTCATCTTTGGGTGCCTCAAATTCAAATGGTTCTGCTGTTGAAACACTATCAGGACCACAGTTTCTTTGGGGCAGTCCAAAGTTGCAACCTCAACAGAGTAATTCTTCATCCTGGAAAGCCCAGTCTTTGGTGAATGCTTTTACATCTGGTGGTCAGGGTGACATGTTTTCCTTGTCAAATCATCAAAAGTCTTTCCTCAATTCATCTCAGCACCATCATCATCACCTTCACCATGTTGGATCTGCTCCATCTGCTCTTCCCTTTGATAAGCACTTTGGTTTTTACCCAGACTCTCCGGTCTTAAGTCCAGGTTTTAGAGGCATGGGTATAGGTCCTCGTGACGGAAGTTTGATGGTTAATTATGGTGCTCGTACCACTTTGAATTCTGGTGTTGCTGTTCCAGGGAATATGTCAAACAATGGTTCTCCTGGGTTTGGCATGATGTCTTCCCAAAGACTGAGTCCTTTATTCCTAGGTAATGGTCATTTCCCAGGACATGCAGCTTCTAGCTTTGAGGGGCTGACTGAGCGCAGCCGCACTCGACGTGTTGACAATAATGGGAACCAGATGGACAACAAGAAACAGTTTCAACTTGACTTGGATAAGATTAGATCTGGCGAAGATACTCGGACAACTTTGATGATTAAAAATATTCCTAATAAGTAATAGCAACTTCTAAATTCTTGTACCTTGTTAAGTATAGCTTATTTTTGTCTTGGTGACTTGACATTGTCTTCATCCAGGTACACCTCCAAGATGCTTTTAGCTGCTATTGACGAACAACATAAAGGCACTTATGATTTTCTGTATCTGCCAATTGACTTCAAGGTAATTCTACTAAAGTAGTTAGGATTATGTGGTTTATTCTTTTTTCCCAAAGTCTGATGAAAATTCTTGTTTGCGGCAGAATAAATGCAATGTGGGATATGCATTTATCAACATGGTGTCTCCATCACTCATTATCCCATTTTACGAGGTTTGTTTTGTCTATTTTTTTAAACGTAGTGTATAATTTTCTTTTTCTTAAAGTAATTGAGCTATGAGCATTGAAGCTAGTGTCTCCTTGTTTTATAGTTCCCACCTTCCCACTTAAATATAAAGAGCGCTATGCCTTCTTGATTGCCTTTCCTTCTATTGTATTTGTGCTGATGTTTTGAAGGAAGAGTGTGTGCTGAGTATTCAATTTCTGCAGGCACTTAATGGAAAGAAGTGGGAGAAATTCAATAGTGAGAAAGTGGCTGCTTTGGCTTATGCTCGGATTCAGGGAAAGACGGCCCTTGTAGCCCACTTCCAGAATTCAAGTTTGATGAATGAAGATAAGAGGTGTAGGCCAATCCTATTCCACTCAGAGAGCTCGGAATTAGGGGATCAGGTAATATAGACCGTCTCATTAAGAATTAAAGCATGCAAAATATAACTACAGTTGTTGTGCATTATGATTCCGCTTGCTTCCCAGATATGTTCTGTTTGATTTCCTGGTTTTAGCTTGTTTCGTGTTCGTCATGTCAGCTGGTTTGATTTTTTTCCTCCTAGTTTTCAGGCTATGTGATTGGATTTTCTTATCGAGATGATAACATTGAAATTGCAACTTTTGCATCAAAACACAATTATAGCTAAGGTGAAAAACTTTCATGCAGATTGTTCAAGAGCATCTTTCATCTGGGTGCTTACATATTCATCAAGTCTGTCGGTCAAACGAGTCAGACTTCCTGGAGTCACAAGGTAGCCCACCTGAGGAGGATCCAGTTGACAAACTAGAGAATAGCTAGCATTGGCATTCACAGTTTTTTCTTCACGGCTTGAAGAGTTTGTAGCTGTTAGTAAGTGTCGACAGACATATGTAGAGTAGCATGATTCGAGGCACAAAATAGAAGTATGACGTTTTGTATTATAGTGAGTAGGTGTTTTTGGTTAGAAATCTCTTAAGAGGAAGAGGGTTCTGAATTATGTGGAATCAAAGCATCTGCAGTTCTTGATGTTGTAATCTTTTGGCAAATTGAGATAGCAAATACTATCTCAATATAGATTGCAATGTTGTAGTTTTGCAATATTTTTTGGTGGATGGAGTAAAGAGCTGATGCTTGATTTGTATAGTGGGAGGAAAGCTGACTGTTATTTTGTGTCAAGTGTTTTGGTATTTATGGAAAACTTGCACTCCTTTTTCTAGGGAGAATTACGTATCTTATGAGGTTTCTGTAACACGTCTTTAAATATTACATAAACTTCTCTAGAGACTATTCTGTACTTTTTTTTGTTTTGAGAAGGTAACAATTTTCATATTAAAAGATAGTAGTCCTTAGCACAAAGAATGTGCCAAGGAGTAAAATAAGTGTTACAAGACCCAAAAAGTTGCAAAAATTGTAGTAGCCACAAGGAACCAATGAGACTATTTTGTAAGCAATAACATATTGTATTTATGAGGTTTATTTTTAGTTATTACACAAGAAGCGAGCATTTAACATAGCGTGTACAATATTAAAAACACGTGTTTGATATTAAATGGGAAAAAAAATTTGTTTTCAGTAATATCATAGATAGTGATTATAACTTGATGGATCTTTTCCATTTCCAGTTCTCGACAAGTTATTTAAAAAAAAACCTACTAAAGATTATTGGCGCCACTTATAAAAACATATTTCACGCAAAAGGTATAAAGAATTAATTTTGATTTATTTATTCAATTCTTTGAAATGAGGAAGCTTTTCTATTCAGGAAAACAGCTTTTGAAGCCTTTTATTGAGAAGATAATTTTAGAGCATTCTAATACAAATAATATACAGCATTGCCATTTACATAAATAACCACCACATGAAAAGATAATATCCTATGCTGCTGATAATATGTACAAGGCAGGAGAATCAGAATCAACTCCAAGGCTCTGCGGGCTCTAGAATTTATACTTATTGCCATAAAAATACTTTAAAAAAAAAACTGATCTGCAGAGGAGAGTTAGGATGTACCATTAAATATAACTTAGGACATTCTACCTGCATCAAAATTTGGAACATGTCTAAATTTCCATTTTTTCAGTTCCATCCGAATCTGGACCATGTTGTGTAGATTTCCCTGTTTTGAGTTCCAGGTCTATTAGGAAATAACATTTATTTTCTTCTCTAACATAGCGGACAAGTCCATTCATCGTATTGACAAGCTTCTGGGAAAAATTTAACGCGATTCCTTCCTGTGTTGTCCCTCTATTTCTTCCTCCAGACATGTCTTCGATTAGAGCAGCAGGTAGTCCTTGGCCAGGGTGAGTCATTCTAGAAAATTAGAAGAGTTACATAACATTTATCTGTAGAAGTCGTTTTATAAGACATACATAAAGTTATTGTAAAGCTATGGAAAATAATTGTGGCTCGGGGGAAGGGGAGTAAACTCCTTCACAAGGTGGTTGGTTTCAAAGACTACAAAAAAGATGATAACAGTTACAAAAGACGACAACTGAGAATGTTCTTCCTTTTTTTCTTCTCATCTCACTTGAAAGATTCAAAGTGAGTATTTGAGAACAAAAAACAAATTCAGGTAAGTGAATAAAGCACTGTAATATTGCCAACGATTAGATTAAACCCAGCGAAGCACTTCTATGGGTTAATGTTATACGTTGCATGAAAGGACAGACACAAGATAAAATGAGTAAAGTTCATGTTGCGTAACAAACCATCAATAGATAAATAGCTCAGATCATGTTACCTGAATTGGAGACGGATACATTCATTTCCATCTTGTATGAGTTTCAGACCAGGTAACACCTTGATTTCCACCCAACCATCAGGGGAAGGTGCATGATGAACTACACTAAGCAAGAAATCTGAGAGAATAAGCTGAAGCTTAATTTGATCACCATATAGAGGAAGAGTTTTGATCTGGTCAGGGATATCATGCAGCAGCTGTAAGTTCTTTTCCTTGAGCAAAATCATTACTTGACTCACGATAGCATCCACAACATTTCCTAGAACGAATTCCTCCATGTTTAGCTCCACTTTGCTGCTAAAACCAGGAGAAAGTAATGTGCATTTAGCAGACCTTTTAAACAAGCTAGTAGCATGGGTATGATTTGAAGTAAATCATAGGGGTGAAGAAGCAGAAAAATTACCAACACAAGAAAGTCACAGGGAAACAAAACAAGAGAAGCTAAGAAGAATCAACATAAATATATGTGCTGGCTTATTGTTGCACTGGCGAATACAAAAGAGTCTTTACAGTAGCTTTTAGAAGAAGAGTAAACTTCTAATGTGTTTGCAGTCTTTTGGGTACTTCTCTCTGTTTTTTCTTGGGCTCCAGTAAACTGATCACATGCCCCTAGAAAGCTGTTTTCAAGTAAAATTAACAGATAATGAGAACCAGCTTCTCAAGACTGGGATACAGTGTCCAAATATAGCTCATCAACGAAAGAACTATCAATACAAGGCCAAGCAAATATCTCAGGGGAAGAAGTTGATCATCTTTTGTTGCATTGCCCTCTGTCCTCGGCTTTGTGGAGGGCAATCCTGAATCTTTTTGGTGTTTAATGGGTGATGCCAAGCACTGTAAAGGAAATGTTATATAGCTGGGCCGGTTTGCGTAGAAGAAGAAAGCAAAAGGCGTGGAAGTTCGCCCCGTTAGCTCTCATGTGGATAGTTTGGGGGGAGAGAAATAGGAGAGCTTTTGAGGGGATTGAGTCTCCTTTTTCACATCTTAAGAATAGTCTTTTATCTTTGATCGCTTTTTGGTGAACTCATATAGCCCCTATTTGTATAGAAGATTGGGCGTCTTTTGCAGAGAATCATGTTCTGATGTAAATTCTCTACTTTTTGGTATATTTCCTGTATACGGGAGTACTCTCCCTTTTGATTAATACAATTTACCTTATAAAAAAAAGGCCAAGCAAATATGAATAAGAAGTTGCAGCCTAGCAAACTTCAAGCAAATTACTCTACAGTTGAATCTACAGAAATTAATAAAAACCATGATAAGGGAAAAGTTGGTGTAGTGGAAAGAAAAGAGGTAACCGCTACTCTGCAACCACTGGATGAACAACCTATTCAGAAGGTCTTAGAAGAAAGAAAATGGTTCTCTGAGATCATATACGAGATTTCCTCTGTCATTAAGTGATAATCAGTTGAGTGGAACGTATAAAAATATGAAAGAAGATATAGAATTATTTTAATCAGGGTTCATATAGAAGAAGCATTACCCGTCCTCTATACTTCCAAAATCCATATTGTCAATAACAGATAGTATCTGTTTCTCACAGGCTTCACTTGTCTCCAGAAGCTGCTTCTGATTATCTGAAACACAGGTGGCTTCAAGGAGTTTATGGGTAAACTGGATCCCATTCAATGGATTTTTCATCTGCTGTCTGATATATGAAAATTCTTTAATTTTTGAAAGGGATTCTTTATTGTCTTGTCTCTCATCCGATGCCTCTGGGTCAACCAGTGTAGGCTGCAAGAAGCAGAAACACCCAATTATATTCCCATGCTCATCAGTTCTCTTGTTTGCTGTAAGGAACACTTCCACAAACTCCCCTGTCCTATTAAAAAAGCCAAATGGAAGCCTTTTGGTGTCATGGCCACTGATTGCTTGGTAGAAAAGAATCATAAATTTGGTAAGGGCATCTTGTCCCCTAAGGCGACAAAGACCACCAAAAACTTCACCAGGAAGTGTCCTCCCCAGGATCTCATATCTTGTCCAACCGGTCAACCTTTCCATCGCTGCATTCCACTCCGAACAGCAAGCATTTTCATCAGAAGCAAATATTGGTGGAATCAGTGGATTAAGGCTTTGTACAATAGCCTCATAATCTCCTTGCAACTGAATAAATTTATCCATGACAGCTTTCTCAGGAGTGACATCTTGAGCCACAAAGCACACGCCAACAACATCATTTTTGTGGTCCCTGCTTGNCTTCAGTCAATATTCATTTACCTAGAAGAGGAAAAGAGGTCCTTTGCAATTAAAAGAGTGCACTGAAGAGTAAGCTAAGCTTCACTATACAGTGGAGATGACTGATTAGTCATTGCTGAAAGCACAGTATTTCCCCAAATGTAGATATGCAGGTAACTGTGCATATGTTGTAACATACAAGATGACAAGCCAATTCAATAAGTGTAGGTAAAAGAAGTGTAAGTAACCAATTCTCTTACCAATAGGCATGAATTTCAAATCTAAGAAGGTAGACCATCAAGTATAGACTGCAGTGCATAAAGAATGAAGATAAAAGAACACAATGGACACACATATTAGAAAATTATAGCCATCGGATGTAAAGTATGTTTCCAAATTATGATGATAACTATTAAGGCTAAAAAGAAATACCTAACAGAGCTCTATGTAGAACTTTTTCAACAGTTTCATGTGAATCTTCATGAGCAATATCATTAATGAGAGACTTTCCAATAGCTTCACTAGCTTGCAACCCTGTCAAGTCAGCAATCTTCCCATTCCATCCATTTATTAAGCCAGATGGATCAACTCCAAAAATTGGAGCAGTGGCCGTCTCAATCAACCTAACCATTTCCATTGCCACAGAACTAAGTTCATCCATGCTTGGACCATCAGCATCATTCTGTTGAGAAGAGGTCATAGTTTTCAGAGAACTGTTCTCAATTTCTTGAATTGATTCTCTCATTATGATTTGTAGAGAATGAATGGCGTTAATCTCCGGAACATCCCAAGGCATACTTCTACTTTTAACCACTTCAAGAAAGGCATTAAATGAAGATCGTGGGTGCATTTTTCCTCCATCATCTTTATCGTCTGGATGATGCTTAGCACCTCCCCACTTGACTTCGTTTGCTGTGTGAGACCTGAACCAGAATAGGAAATCCTCGGAAGTAATTCTCGCAGTAGCCATGCCACAAACTTCATCTCCCAGTAAAGCTGCACCAGGATAAGCAGCATCTGCAAGACTGTCCGTACTTAAACCTGTCGAGTCCTTGTGAGCAACTAGTAACCACTCTGCAATATCTTTAACTTGTGCTTCAGTTGGTGTCACCCCAAGCAACCAACATTTTCCACCGTAATAAAGTGCAGCTCCATCGCACTTGACAAGATCCATAATACTAGGGGATTGTGTTACAATGCCAAATGGAACATCTCGAAGAAGCATGTCACATAATAAGGTCTGCATTTGGAGAGTTTTCTTCTCGGCCAACTGTGATGCCAACTGGAGCTCCATATGAAGCTGCAGCCCAAATGCCTGCATGAAGAATTCACATGCATACCGAAGTGGGAAAGGCACATAGCGGGGAGTACTGTGATGACAAACAACCAAACCCCAAAGCTTTCTCGAATCACTGCTATTGATAACTACTGACATCACCAACGACGAAATAGATCCCATGTTGGCCATATACTGTGTATGGCAGCCATGAGGTGATCTAAGAGTCGAATTTACCAAGCAGAGAGGCTGCTTCAGTTCTTCACTCTGAACAATCTTAACAGGCTGTGCATTGCAATCACATATCATCCTAATTCTGTTCTGCTTGAACAAGAACCGAGCAGCTTGCGGAATATCTGTTGCAGGATAATGCAAGCCCAAATAAGGTTCCAAGTCTGATCTCCTAATCTCAGACAAAACTTCACCATGATTATCATCATGGAACTTATAAACCATGACCCTATCATATCCAGTCAGCTTCTGCACATCTTCCACCACCGTATCACACAGAACCCCTATATCTCCACCAGGTAGTGATTGCAACCTAGATATCGACCGGACAGCCAGTTTTTGTGACTGCACAGCCCCAGCAAGCAGCAATGCAGGGTCACTAGAATTAGCAGGCTCTAAATCAATCACAATCCCCACATCAATCCTGTGAAGTATAGCATAAAAGGGCTTATGGGTACTCCTAGAATGAACCCATATAGGGTTCAACAAAGAAATTTCCCTAGAGGTCATGGCTTTAGCCAATGAAGCCCCAGAAGAAGGGGTGAAAAGGGTTCTAGCATCAACACCAATCAAAGTAATCAACTTTGATGACTCAGCAATCTTAAAACCTAACATATCAAAGCAATTCTCACTGTAACCTATAATCTTGAAAGTATGTTCCTCAATAGCAAGCACACAACCAAATGGTTGAACAAGCCCACCCCTTTGAATTCTTGAAAGATAAGAAGTGATTTCTTCTTCATTAGCATTATCCTGAGGTGCATAAAGAACTGATCTTGAATAATTAAAGGACTTACCAGAGACACCAGACAGTTCAAACTCAGCCATGAGCTTAGCATCAGCATTGTACTGAGCCATAGTTGCGTTGCTGGTGTTGTTGTTATTCATGTTACTAGCAGCAGAGGAAGAAAAGGTGGAATCTTTGTTAGAATTCTTCTTGTTTTGGAGATTAGGGCTTGTGGGTCTTCCTCTTCTTCTGGTTTTACTGCTGCTCTGAAACTCCATTTTATGGGGTCTTGATATTGATATCTTAGAAACTGATCAGGTGGGTTCAGGACGAAGAGCAGCGGGTATTCTATCATGTCTGTACTTGATTCTCCTGTTTGTGCCCTCCTTGTAGCTTCAAACATAGCTCTCTCTCTCTCTCCAACTACAGGGTTTATCTTGTTGTAATTATGTCATTATACCTTTCTAATCACTGTCTTAATTCATGTTCATGGATGATATTTTTTTTGTTTTTACCTGTTGTTATCCGTTTTCGCCTCGACTAAGGTCTCTTTTTTTATTAAAAAAAAAACAAAAATCAAAAATGTGTTTGTCCATAAAATTTTATACATTTTTTAAAAGAAAGAAAATCAAAAATGAGTTTTTCAAAAACCAAAAAGTAGTTTTGATCACTTTTTCAAAATTTTCAGAATTTTTTTCCCCGCTGAAAACTGCAATATTTTTTCAAGTTAAATACATGTCCAAACATAATTTTAAATTTTAACTTAACTCCAATAACTACTTTTTTCTCAAAAAATTATAATTCTTATGTCCAAAATTCTACTATTTTGAAAGTATCTATTTCATATTATAATTTATCTAGTTTTGAATATCTAAATTTCATAATCAAAATACTATCAAACCATAATTCAGTTTTATTATGACTAAAATAGTTAAGTTGACCATTATTAGCGTACCAAAACATTTAATTTGAAATGAAGATCGAGAGTATGACCATGATTTACTTGCATCAAAACATTGTGTAAAGCTTGTTTGCATCAGTAAATTCAATATTTTGTTAATAGCTTAAATTGTTTCATTGCTTATTTTCACAGCAAAAACCAACACATGAAATGAATATATTCTCCAAAACTCTTAACAACTTATTTTTTAAATGTGATTCATTATTTTACATATGCAGGTCATTAGCTTTTACTAACACGTCATTATTATATTCGCACATAAGCCAATATTATTCCGGGACTGTTGAAATACAGTTTTAATTCTAGAACATAAAATTTCTTAATCATTTCTGGCACATCTAAGGTAGATATCATCTTCCCAAGAAAAAATGGAAACTTAGGTTTATTCACTTATGGTTATAGGTGAGAATAATAAGTAGCTGAAATAAATACTATGGAATAAGAGTTTTAGATGAATTTTTATGAACCACAAGTTTAAAGGTATTAAAGTTGAGAGATATTGTTGTCATACAAGTAAACCATAGAAGCTGGGAAAGAAGAACTGACTTATCAGAAGATTGTAGGGCCTTTGATGGATTGAAAGATTCCTTAAAAACTATGGCTGAGAAGGGGACATCAAATCGTTTGGCAAAGTGCAAGAAGACATTAAAGGTCACGTCCAAGAATTATACCGTACAAGATTTATTAGAAAAAACATCGTCAATTTTGTTGGGCGAAATTGCCTCGTGGCCACTTAAACTTGCTCTCATTTGTAAAGCTGATACACAAACTTATATCGTTCCCATTTGAACACTCAAACTCATGTATTTGATAACTAATAAACATATTTGACAATTGACCATACACATATAGCAGTGACAAAGTTGATATGGACAAAGTGTATGCAAGTCACGTAAATTATGTGAGTGACCACAATAATTTTGATTTAAAAAGTCTAAATCAAAAGGAAAAATATTATAAATAAAAAAGAAAGAACTTATTCCCTTCACCCCTTTCTATTTCTTTTCCCCTTTCGCCATTGTCGTATGGCCCCACCTCCTCCTTCTTTTCTTTCTTCCCCACTCCAATATTTCCCCGCCTCCTCATCTTTTTGTTCCAAACCCGGGCAACACGGGTGGAAAACAAAGAAAAGCAATGAATTTTGTCAATTCTTTCTCTTACATTAACTCCAACTCTCCTTTTTGTATTCATCTTAGACTGGAAGACAAATAGAGAAAAGAGAAAGACCATCGGAAAATTGTCGAGTTTTGGGTGAAAAATTCTACTCACGGAGTCTGACTTCTTCTCTCTTTCTGATTTAACTATTAATGTCCTTCTTTGACATAGTCTCGCCGGCTCTCTTGTTGCCTTGACGAAATTTTAGCAGGTACCCGACTTTGATTTGGGTATAAATTTTATAAGTTTTATTAGCAGTGTAAGATGTAATGGATTTTATAGAAGTTCATGGCTGATTGAGGCATGTGGTCAGGTGATGGCTGGGATTTCTTCCCCAACGATGGCGCTAAAAAGTGTAGAAATAGCGAAAGAAGTAAAATAATAAAGAAATTTCGATAAATTAGTCTTAAAAAAAATGGGACACACATATGACACATGTAAAATAATAAATGGTCTTAGCATTTGAGGTGTTCTTCTTGTCAGGCACTAGAGCTACACACTCTGACGAAGTATAACGACCCGACCGGTCGTTTTGAGCTCTAACGCATCGTTTGGCGGTTTGAGGCCTTGAGTAGCTTCACTTCATGTTCTATGACTTGTACGCATGGTCAGAATTGAATTTTGGGAAGTTCGGAGTTGATTCAGATGGAAAATTCTCAATTCGAAAGCTTTAAGTTGAAAGAGTTGACCAAAGTTTGACTTTTGAGTAAACGACCTCGAAATCGGTATTTAAAAATTTCAATAGGCTCGTATGATGATTTCGGACTTGGGCGTATGTTCGAGTTGAGTATTGGGTAGTCCGGGAGCATTTCGACGCTTATTGTGGAAAGTTGGCAATTCGAAGGTTTTAGAATTTCCTAAGTTTGGTTTGAAGTGGACTTTGGTGTTATCGATATCCGTTTGGGGTTCTAAGCCTTGGAATAGGTTCATATCATGATTTATGACTTGTACATAATGTTTGGCGTTATTCCGGAATATTTAAGTGTAATTCGGACGCGTTCGTCGAAGTTTGAATGTTTGAAAGTTAAAAGGAGGATTTGATCATCGATTCATGGTTTTGATTTTGTTTGATGTAATTTGAGGCCTTGAATAGTACGTGTTATGTTTTGGGACTGGTTTGTATAATTGGACAGTGTCCCGGGGGCCTCGGGTGTGTTTCAGATGTGTTTGGGTTGTATCACGCTCTTATTTGATGTTTCAACGTCGTTTCTTTGGACATAGAAGATACCATATTGAGAAAACGATATTTGATTTATGATTAGATTGAACCATTAGATTCATATCGTAATTATGGAGCCATAGAAATAAGAATCATCGAATTCCGATGTCGTATGAGAGAGATATGCCCATTTCCGTATAGGACAAATTGCTGGTTTCTGGTGCGAAGCTTTGTTCTTTGCGAACGCGAGAGAGGTTCCGTGAACGCAAAGAAGGATTTTTGGATTGACCGATCAATGCAAAAGATTGCTCTTCGCAAACGCGAAGGTCTCCCGCGAAGGTGATGAAGAAAAATCATCTGGACAGTATTTTAAACCGAGAATTTTAGTATTTTGGGCATATCTTGAGTTCTAGAGCTCCTTTTGAGGTGATTTTTGTAGAGTTGTTCTCATCTCAACATGGGAATAAATATATGAACTTTATTTTGATGTTTCTCCATGATTATTTCCTTTGGTTATTATTTTTATCCGTATTTGGATTGTAGAAATTGGGATTTTGAGCCCCAAAGTTGAGAAATGGTAAATCCTTGATTTGAGAGTCAATTCATGGATGAAATTGGATGATTTTCGGAATAAAAACTATATAAGTTATGGGTAATAATTATTTTCGATAATTTTTGAAACCTAGACGCGTAAGCTCGGGGGTTGACTTTGTTGACTTTTTTTGAGGAGTTGGGAATTTATTTTTAATTGTTAAATTACGAGTATTGGAGTATATTTTGATTGGTTTGCACGTTGTTTGATTAGTTTCCGATCGTTTGGCATTAGTTTGAGGTGTTAGAAAGGCGTTGAAGTCGGCTATCGAATTTAAGAGCATTCGATCCTCGGCAGTGCTCACATGATAATGGGATCGGGTCGTTCGTCGCGACATTTCTATAAAACAATCTTGTGGATCGGGCCGTTCGCCTCAGCAGCGTCGTGCATAATATTTGACAAGAAACCAACATATCCGTGTGTTTTTCCTGATTTGAGTTGTGACGACCTATCTAGTGAGGTCCATTTTATATATACTCCGGTTGAGGAGGTAACTGCTAGTTGAGAGCTTGAGTTTACCGTTTAGAGGAAGATTGTACCCCGTATTTATATTGGTTTATACCGTTTATTTACTCTTTCTCATACTTGTTTACTTCTTACCATACATGATTTATTGGACCACTAGTAAGTGCGGATGTCGACCCCTCATCACTACTTCTTCGGGGTTAGGCTAGATACTTACTGGGTACGCGTTGATTTACGTACTCATACTATACTTTTGCACTTATTGTGCAAGTTTATATTTCTGTTGGTCTTTTGGGCGCAAAGGCGCATCTATTATGTGGACTTTAAGGTGAGCTGAATTCTATATTACGATCCACAACATACAGAGTCTCCATCAATGTTATTTATATTCTCCTGTCTAACTTGTATTCCAGACAGATGTTGTATTTTATTATTCCCTAGTTGAAGCTCATGGACTTGTGATACCGGATTTTGGGGGTTTCTAATGGATGTTTAGTATGGTAGTTCACGTAATTATTATCATTTCACCTTGTAAATTCTATTTTATATTATTTAATTAATGAAAAGTAGGATTTCAAAAGTAATAAAAATGAGTAATTAAGTTGATCAATCACAGTTGGCTTGAATAACGGCTGTGTTAGGCTCCATCACGACCTATAGTGGATTTTGGGTTGTGATAGCTTGGTATCAGAGCTCTAGGTTCACTTGGGTCTCACGAGTCATGAGCAAGTCTAGTAGAGTCTTGCGGATCGGTACGGAGACGTCTGTACTTATCTTCAAGAGGCTATAGGGCTGTTAGGAGCACTTCCTTTCTTGATTCCTCATTGTATGATTTGATTCCTTTGAGGCTTATGCATTTATTCCCTTCATACTCAATCTTATGCAATGTGAAGCGCTTGTTATCAATTGGGCATCAAGGAGTTGTAGTGGTACTGCAAATGCGGTGCAAGATGTTTTTCGTTGCATATTCTGGAAGGTTATTATCGTTGCCTTGCAGAAGGATGTTCTGTCATTTCAGCTCAGTATCTGTATTTCCTATGGTTTGAGGCTATGCACATATTGCTATGATGTTCATGCATTATTATCGTACAATGTTGGTGTAATGGTAGGGT